TCATAAAATTACATGGTTTTACAAAAAAATTTCCAGTTGTTTTTACTAATGAACTTTAAAATTCAATATCTCAGTAATTAGTAAATAAAAAAAACCAATCTATTTTTTATTTGAAAAAGGAATAGAGTGTCTTTTATTTAAAAAAAAATTTAAATTAATTATACTCAAAATTATAAAGTTACAGGACCAGTGACAAAACTTTTCAAATGCCCACGTACATATAAATATTAATATAAATATTAATATGGATGTAACAAATTGTCTGACTGCGATTCATAGTTTACAGCGATCCAAATTTTGTTCGATGTAACAAATATTTACATTGTAACGAAAATCTCTTTGTAGTGAACATATTATAAGTTTGATGATGTAACGAGAAGTTTGTTTTTTAATTTAAATTTCAATAACTAACAGAAGTTAAAAAATTCTTGAAAATAAGTTTCATTACATAGAGTTTCAGATGGGTGACTATTTTTTTATTTGCCTCCAAAAGATAGACTTTTTCTTTTTTATTATTATTTTTACCAATATGGACACATCCGTTATTTACAGCATAAAGATTATCATCAATATCAAATCATAATCCCGTCAGCATGTTGTTTCCACTATTATTACTTGTATTAATATGTATTTATATAGAACACTTTTAATGTTCGCTCACTCTATGTGTAAATGGTTAAAATTTGAACTGGGTTACATAGTTCACCGTAAGTCATTTCCACTGTAGCGAAACTCATTGTAACGAGCTTTGACTGTAATGAATACACGCAAAAAAAAATTTTTATTAGATGAAAAAAGTCACATGCATATCACCACAAAGCCAGTAAACCAACTAGTTGCTTAGTTTCTTATACAAAAATGGTTCGAAAATAGCTGTATTCTCGTATCAATAAATTTAAGAGTCTTGTGTTGGTTTTGAGTCAATAAATAAATTTGTCGTATCGCATTGATCTTTGGACGTGTGACCTTAACTATTAAATTCTTAGCTTATATGTCAGATTTATTATAAATTTAACATAATAAAAAAAAATGGATATTTTACATCTCTTTGAAAAGAATGTTTTTCAATTTTTTTAAATGTCGAACTCGTAATAGATATAATACCATTATTCATGGATGACCCACAGCTATTAATGAGTTATTAAGAAGTACATAACCAAAAGAAACAGAATTATCATCTTCAATGGATTTCTTATAAAGATTGGAATCGTCCAAAAAATCCTTTAGTCGACTATTTTAGTTGACCACTTTAGTTGATTATTTTAGTCGATTTTTTATAGTAATAACAATAATATTTCGTTTTTTTTTTTTAAAATTTGCAAATTACGAACTCATTTCCGTTTAAATCGTCCACTTTTTCAAAATACTTCCCCACAAAACCATGTGTTACGATTCGTTTTTTCAAAGGTTTTCTGGAACCACTGCTTAAATCATTGGAACTTGAAGCCAGTGAATTATTGGACCTTGTATTGGAAGTGTTTATTTATTCACATGTAAAATTACCATCAACAACACACTACTGTTGTCGTCATCATCATATTGATGGTATTGATACTCTTCCGCATAGAAATTTTCCATTTTGAATGATAAAACCGTAATTGGTCAGACAATAATATTTGCATATTATTAGTATTAGTATTAGTATTAGTATTAGTATTAGTATTAGTATTAGTCCAAAAATTCTTTGAGGGCAAAGCTCTCAAAGAATGCTCTCCGCAGGAGCATTGGCTTCTTCACATGAAGAAGGAAAATTTTTTTTAGCAATATTATATATTAATAAATATATTTTTTTAATTTGTATCACCATTAAAGGTCACGTGATATAAAAATCTATTGCATTTTTGAGCCACGAGGCGCGGCAAGTTGTGGGACTAGGTGACTTGCACCATAATTTTATTTTTTATTAAAATAAAATTTACAAATCACGCGCTATTTTCTTTGTAACGCTGTATAAGAACATAATATAATTAATATTTATAAGTTTATCTCTTCGACAATTGGGTAGAGTGTACGCAATGTGCAGTTGGAAACATTGGAATGTTTCAATAAGATTCCAAATGTAGATCATCGATTGATATTAACCAATAATTTCATTTGGAACCACATTTGGAACGTTCCAATTCCAGTCACAAGCTCTAAAAATAATAAAAATAGAATATTTATTGTTTGGTGTTTATAATTTATTTTGTAAATGTATTTTTATCTCTTCTCTCCTCGATAAGTATTACAAATGCAAAAATTATACGAATCAGGGGGGATCACACCTGGGATTAGTTAAAAGTAAGTATATTCGAGAGTTATGATGATTTTTTCAATAATAAAAATAGCAATTCAATAGATGATTCTAATTTTGATCACTTCCTCAAATACAATAATTTAAATCTTATCATCAATATTATCTATATTGATATTAATGGTTCAGTTATTTTAATCGAGAAATTTATATAAACACTAAAATAAAATATGTTCTCATTTAAATAACCTTGTGAATATATGGGCACTTTTTTTTGATGGCGAATAAAATTAAAATGGGGGGTTTTTTTTTT